TTTTTTTTTAATAATTAATATTTAATATTTTGAAGTGAGTAATTTTTTTCAATTTTTCAATTAAAATTTAATAAAAATTCATATGATAGTTATTCTTATTACAGATGATTCAATATATTTAAAAATAATTTATGGTGTCAATGTTTAGACTCCTGTCAATAATTAAGGCTTTTACCTTACTACAAAAAAATCTATTAAATTCCTTTAAAAAAAAAAAATTTGCGCAAGTTGTCAATTATTTCTAACTCAAAAATATATGAGGCCAGCTAAAAGATAATATTAAGAAATTCAGCAATTTAAAGTAAAGGCTTGTTATATTTATTTGGTGATTTGTATTTATTTTCCTAGCTCCGATTTGATTGGCGACCGGCACGTGATGCAAGAGCCTTAGGCGGCTAAATCGATTAGATTAGATATTATATCCCAAACAGGGACTTGAGTAAGTACTATAATCCATAATAATCCCATTAACATTAAATTTGTTTGTTGATATTAAAAAGTATATTAAAAGGACTTACAAATGATAAATTAGCGGTTTATTGAGCGTCTAATTGTACGGAAGCTTGTAAATAAATTTTCCGTAGGTGGACCGCATTTCACTATCTTCCGGTTGAAATACCAACAGCGAGAAATCGGTATGAATAAATCGATCTCAATCGCAATATGATGATGATTGATGATGAATATCTCTACAAGCAGAAAATGAATTAAAATTATAAACAGAGCGTTTGCATTAGATATATTTTCGATTTAATCGGGAAACGCAAACATTATATGGGCACGATCCAAGTTCGACGGCGACGTGACTCTTTTATTATTTTTTTAAACCGATATAATCATGGAACGCTATTCTGATTTTCAATCATCAGATAAATCGGATCTGTTGATTGAATCGATAATATTACTCGCTTCTCTTTCCTGAGTGTTACGTACCCGGAATACCAATGTAATGCTAATACTCTTTCTCTGTTCCGTTCTTTTATGCTAGATCGAAAATTTCATTTTTTTTTTTTCACTTTTTCTTTCTATGACTTACAATTCATGTAAATTATCCTGC